GCACACGCCTGTAGTTCTAGCTACTTGGAAGGCTGAGGTGGAAGGATTGCCTGAGCCCAACAGAGCGAGGATGCGGTGGCTGTGAACGTGCCACTGCACTCCAGCCTGGGCGACAGAGTGAGACTCTGACTCAAAAAAAAAAAGTTAAATGAGTCCCCAAACTTTAAAAAAAGTGGAAGGTTTCACAAAAAGTCCCAGACCTCTGACTGCAAAGAGCAATCTGCTAGCGTCAGGCCCCACTTTCCCAAGCAGCAAGACTAGAGGGAGTGGAGGAGAGGCTGCCCCAGAGGTGGCATGGTGCCCGCTCTGATGCCATAGTCCCCCCCCCACTCCCCTCTGTCCCAGACAGGCTCCTTAGCATCACTCACTGATCCCAGAAAGCACTTGGGTTTGAACTCTGGGGCTACACAGTGTCTAGAGCCCTTTCTGCTCCCTGTCCTTGGGGTTCAAGGTGAGACCAAGGTCACTCAGTGCCTGAGGGGAGGGAGGGGCAGGAGCCTTGCTTTCCCTCCTCTTGTATAGATCTGTTATTAAGGCTGGCTGTATGTACAGTGGTGGAAATGTTGCCCAAGAAGGCCTCGTAAGATTGGGAAACCCTATCCCCAGAAGGCCCCTCCAGGTTGTTTGCTGTGCAGCAGTGAAGTTTCTGGAAGCCCAGAACCAGAGAAGAGGGGAAAAGATTCTCAGACGGCTGGGAATTTAAGGTTGCAGCCTTAGGAACCAAGGAAACTGGGCATGGTGGCTCAGGCCTATAATCCCATCACTTCAGGGGGCTGAGATGGGAGGATCATCTGAGCCTCAGGAATTGGAAACCAGCCTGGGAAACATAGCGAGATCTTGTCTCTACAAAAAAAAAAAATAGCTTGGTATGGTGGTATACACCTGTACTCCCAGCTACTTGGGAGGCTGAGGCAGGAGGCTCACTTGAACCTAGTAGTTGGAGGCTTCAGTGAGCTGTAGTAGTGCCACTGCACTCCAGCTTGGGCAACAGCAAGACCCTAACTTAAAAAAAAAAAAAGAGTCAAGAGAGATTTGGGAGCAATAGAATGATGTGTCCTGATGCTGGAGCCACCTCCTAGCTGTGTACTCAGGCAAGTGTCTTGCCCTCTCTGAGTCCTGCTCTTTATGGATAAAGTGGGGATATTGATGGTACTTCCCTCATGGATGATTGTGAGGACGGAATAAGGTGTGTATACGGAGTGTGGCACAGTGCCTGGCACGGAATGCGTGTTTACATGCTGTTGCTGGGGCCTTCGTGGGTACAGCAGTTTGCTTTAGAAGAGAAAAGGGGGCCAGGTGCATGGCTCACGCCTGTAATCCCAGCACTTTGGAAGGATGAGGTAAGAAGATTGCCTGAGGCCACCGGCTTGAGACCAGCCTGGGCAACTTGGTGAGACCTTGTCTTTACAAGGAATAAAAAATCAGCCGGGCTTGGTGGTGCGTGCCTGTAGTTCCAGCTACTTGGAAGGCTGAGGCAGAAGGATCACCTGAGCCCAGCAGATCCGAGGCTGCGGTGGCCGGGAGCATGCCACTGCACTCCAGCCTGGGCGGCAGAGTGAGACTCTGACTCAAAAAAAGAAAAAAAAGAGAAAAGGCTGTCAGGTGTCTGCCGGTGAGAGTTCAATGGATCGCTTGGCGAGCGCGTGTGAACAGCGCCCTCTGCTGTCCGGTTTTGCTCCGCGACAACTTCAGACCGCGTTGGTGAATATGGAAGCAGGGAGACCAAGTTTCCGTTCCAACTGAACATGGAAGCAGGGAGACCAACTTTCTTCCTTTTTTAAGAGGGTCACGCACGTGTGAGATGCACAGGAAACATTTGTTGAATACATCAAAAGTGTAGCCAGGTGACTGTCCTTGGCCCCAACCCCTTTTAAACACGCCAGGTGTGACTGGCAGGTAGCAGGCAGGGCCCTGTGGGGGTATGAGGGTTGGAAGGCGCGTGGCCGACTGGGTGTTTCCGACTGCAGTCCAAAGCACTCTCTTCAGTCAGTCAGTCGGTTTAACCTTGGGATTAAGACCTGGATTTATCTGCCAGGGTTGCCATAGTACGGCACACGGAACTGTGAGCTAAGTGGCCTGCCTCTTCGGCTCATGGTTGATCTTATTCTCTCTGCAAGCCCTCACACCGTCTGCCTCTGTGCCTGTTCTTGTGTCCAAGTTTCTCTTTTTATAAGGACACCAGGAAACTTGGACTAGGAGCCCACTCTACTCCAGAATGACCTCATCCTAATTTAACTAATGACTTCTGCAGTGACCCCATTCCCAATAAGGTCACATTGTGAGATACTGGGGATTAGGATTTCAACATAGGAACTTGGGGGGAGCACAATTCCACCCATAACAACTACGAACATGGGCCAGGCGTGGTGGCTCACAGCTGTGATCCCAGCACTTTGGAAGGCTGAGATGGGATGATTGCTTGAGGCCAGGAGCTCAAGACCAGCCTAGGCAACATAGGGAGACCTCATCCCTACAAAAGTTTAAAAATCAGCCAGCGTGGTGGCACGTGCCTGCAGTCCCAGCACTCTGGAGGCTGGAGCCGATGAAGGATGGCCTGAGCCCGGGAGGCCGAGGCTGCAGTGGAGCCATAATCATGCCACTGCAGTTCAGCCTGGGTAACAAAGTGAGACCCTGACTCAAAAACAAAACAAAACAAAACATGAACTCTAGAACCAGACTATCTGGGTTCAAATCCCAGCTCTGCCTTGTCCTGACTTTGTGCCCAAAGAGCAACCCTCCCTTCCAGGTTGCTGAGGGTTAAGTAGGTACAATCCCCCGCGTATCATTGTTGTAATTGTCATTCCCATTCAGCTAGCAAATGCTTAAACCAGTTTACAGAACCACGGTGTAACTCCCCCACCTCTGTTGGTGGGTCCAGTTGGGACTCTGCAGAAGGGTCATCCCTCTTCCCCCAGTCCACTGATAAGGAGACCAAGGCGTGAGAGGATAGAGATAAGCTCCACACCACACCCCAAGCTGTGGCAACAGCGTGGCATCCAGCCTAGGTTCCTCCTTCAGGACCTCCAGCCTCTGGGCCCCACCCTGGCCACTTCTCCGGTGGCTCCAGAACAGGGCAGGAGGACTGGCCCCTTCTCTGTTTCAGGGAGAGATTGGTCGTGAGATGTACATCATCAAGGCGGGCCAGGTGCAGGTTTTGGGCGGCCCTGATGGGACGTCTGTGCTGGTGACGCTGAGAGCTGGATCCGTGTTTGGAGAAATAAGGTCAGAGGGGAGCTGGGGTAAGATGAGGGGTCTGGGTCAAGCCTGGGGGAGGGAGTGGCCAGAGGGAGAGTGTGAAGAAGGTGTCAGAGATGCAGCACCGGCACTGCAACCATGGGGGGAGCACTCTCCCAGCACAAGGCCATCCTTGTACAGTGGGTGAAAATGAAAATCTGGATGGGATCAAAACCAGAAGCTCCCAAGGACCGCACCCCTCCCTTCTCCTCCCCAGCTTGCTGGCTGTCGGGGGTGGGAATCGGCGCACGGCCAACGTGGTGGCCCACGGGTTCGCCAACCTCTTCATCCTGGATAAGAAGGACCTGAACGAAATTTTGGTGCATTATCCTGAGTCTCAGAAGTTACTCCGGAAGAAGGCCAGGTACATAACTTCCTTTCATTAAAAAAAAAAAATTTGCTAGGCTGGGCGTAGTGGCTCAAGCTTGTAATCTCAGCACTTTGGGAGGCCAAGGCGAGAGGATTGCCTGAGCCCAAGGGTTCGAGACCAGCCTGGGCAACTTGGTGAGACCTCATCTCTATAATAAATCAAAAAATTAGCTGGGCGTGGTAGTGCATGCCTGTAGTTCCAACTACTTGGAAGGCAGAGGCAGAAGGATCGCCTGAGCCCAGCAGGTCTAGGCTGCAGTGGCTGTGAGCGTGCCACTGTACTCCAGCCTGGGCAACGGAGTGAGACTCCAACTAAAAAAAAAGCAAAAAATGACTGGGGCAACCCTTTTTCAGGCCCCCTCCTGCTTGGGAGCTTTTCTGTCTTCTTAATAAACTCCTGTTTTCTCAACAACAAAAAAAATTGCTAAGGCTGGGTGTGGTGGTTCATGCCTATAATCCCAGTGCTTTGAGAGGTTGAGGTGGAGTGATCACTTGAGGCCAGAAGTTCGAGACCAGCCTGAGGAGCAACATAGTGAGACCTCATCTCTACAAAATATCAAAAAACTAGCCATGCGTAGTGGCACATGCCTGTAGTTCCAGCTACTCGAGAGACTGAGGCAAAAAGCACCTGAGCCCAGGAGACTGAGGCTTCAGTGAGTCATGAGTGTGCCACTTCACTCCAGCCTGGGCAACAGAGTGAGACCCCAACTCAAAAATAAAAAAATTTTAAAGAGACCTGTTCCCCAACAATGCAAAATCCAGATGCACAAGGTTATGGTAACACTGTCAGTGGTTGCAAAACATTGGAAATACCCTCCATGTCCTCTTGGGAATGTTCAGCCCCAGTGGACAGGAACAAGGAAGCTGGGACTGATGGAGAATGATTTCCAGGATTTGTTGTCAGGGGAAGAAAAGCAAAGTACAAAAAGAGTCTACTGCATGCTACCTTTTGCATAAGAAAGAAGGGAAATCAGATCTGCCACATTTCGCAAAAGTAAACACAGGAAGGAAAAGTTGAATCGAAGGAGCTTGGTCACCTCTGGGGATGGGTTGCCACAGGGACAGGAGGAGGCGGGACATTCCTGAGTACATCGTTTTTGTAAAGTTCTGACTTTTGAACAAATGTTCATGTTTTACATGCTCAGAACAACAAAACAATCAACAAAGATCAGGGTTGGGAGGCCCTGAAATAGACCACTAACCAAAGTAAGCATCTCTCTCTGTATTTCAAGTGAGCAGAATAAGAATAAGCACATTGAAGGTGAGAGGAGGGCAAGGAAGGATCCAGGTTATTCTGACACCGCACACACTCGCTAAAGACAGAAGAACTAGCCGGGCTCGGTGGCTCAGCTTGTAATCCCGCGCCTTTGGGAGGCTGAGGTGAGTGGATTGCCTGAGCCCATGGGTTTGAGACCCGCCTGGGCAGGCGAGACCTCATCTCTACAATAAAATAAAAAAATTAGCCGGGCGTGGTAGCGCACGCCTGTAATTCCGGCTACTCAGAAGGCTGAGGAGAAAGGATCGCCGGAGCTCAGCAGGTCGAGACTGCGGTGGCCGGGAGCAGCCACTGCACTCCAGTCTGGGCGA